CCAAACACCAGTATCAGACACGATGTCCACAACACCCATTGAGAATGCCCAACACTGGTACTCAGTTGACCCTAGCCTGAGTGGACCAACCGATTGACCTGGGGGGGGGGGCACCCGTCTACTGGAATTCAAGGCTAAAGTGGTGTGTTGCAGTGCCCCAGACACCACTCAACCACCAGGATCCTCTCCCTCCTTCACGGGTCACCACGCATGGCAAACACCTGAGTGGATGTTTAGATCCCAGAGGAAGTAACTGAAAAGACAGAACCTTCCATGGGAGGTCCCCTCACTACGTCGAAGGGGGATGATGTTTAGAGCTAGTGCTCTTTATCAGATTGTACAGCTTACAATCTGCTGAAGAGCACTAGTTGGAAACATCATCCTCTTAAAAAAAAATATAAAGAAACTTGGTGATTGTTTAACCTGTTCTTTAATTTCAATATATTTTTCACCTATGCAGTTTACTATATATTTCTTTTTATATCTGTTTATATCCCACCATGAGTACATCTGTTTGTATTCAAATATGAATATATATATGTTTATATATCTCAACATGGGTACATCTCTTTGTACCCCAACATAACTATATTTGTTTTTATTACAATATCTATTAATCCTTACCCGAGCATCTGTGACTTTAAACTCTCTCAAGATATATTGTGGCATGTTGTATTCTGTGATAGGGTCAACCACATAATACAGGTACCTCTGCGATCGCTCACTTGGCCAATACTGATGACACTTTTCCTGGAATATAGTGAAGTTATACAAAGGGTAAATTCTAACATTTTCACAAAGTAATGAGCCTTAAGCAGAAGAATAAGTGAGGCCTGTTCTCAAAATACAAGTTATAATTTTTAATTAAATTATCTACATAGATTAAAAAGGCTTGCAATTAATTTATAGGTCGTAAAACAATAATATTAGGCTTACTGCATTCTTAAACACTATATTCTTTATTTGACAGGTTACAATATTTGACTAATAAATAGAATAAGAGGGTTTCCATTCAATGTACAATTAAAGCACGTTCATAGATCATGAAGAACTACAATCACCTATCTAGCCAGGATTATTTGAAACTGCACAAACGAAATGGATATCTAATACTATCTTACCCGACCAACTTCTTTCAGTTTGGTCAACATAACAACAATGTTTGAGTTGTGCTCCCACAACATCCTCCAGAAATCTTCAGTTGTTTCTGGTAGTGGACCCTGAGTGGCAATGTAAGCATTTTGATACTTGTAACCCTAGAGTGAAAAAGCATACATTTTTGAAAAACTAATATTTTTAAGAAATTTACAGACATCACAAAAAATAATCTTATCCTACAAAATATGAATATATACAGCAAGAAATTGAAGCAATGCTTATAAAACCTACCTTGGATTTAATGTAGAAAGAATTAAGTACTTTTTATAGCTCTATATTTTAGGGGATAAAAAAACAACATTTGTCTAGATCACAAACTACTAGCATTTGGTTTCTTTATTTTGATATATTTTTAATTTGAACTAAACATGGAATATAATGAATGTAAATGTTGAGTAAAAGTTGTCATATTAGACACAGAAATACTTCAATCTTGGTTAAATTTATGCTATTAATTCTTCTGTCTGTCTTCTAAAAGCACCGATTAGTTGCAACAGGGATACAAAGTCTGAACACCTGAGAGAGTATTTCATAACTATGGTTTAAAAAACATTTACATGTGCTCAAAAATCATCGTCAAAGTGATCAGTTCATTTATGGAATGATTTTATATATACTGAAATATATCAACACATTGGAGGATAGACAATCTAATGCTGATTACAATGAGCTTTAAAAAGAAAACAAAGAAAGATGATAAAAAACCCTGTCATGACATAAAAGACTGTTTGGTTTAAATATTAGTGATTAATTTATATTTGTGAGTGAAATACTTTATTATTTTTAAGTGTTATTATAATAAGAGTTAAAAGATGACGATTGTAGAAGGTTTTGTTAATAACTGATTGGTGTCAAGAATATAGAAAGTGGCCAGACGACTAAGTAATAAAGATATAAATAGAGTGAGGCGAGCAGGAAGCTGCAGACAGACAGTATTAGACAGATAAAAGCAAAGAGAATATAGTTGGTGTGAAGTGAAGTAACGTAAAAGTGATAGGCCTAACGTTTAATATGTTAGAGTGAAACTAACAGTATAAAAAAAGATAAGAAAGATAAAGAGAATATAGTTGGTGTGAAGTGAAGTAACGTAAAAGTGATAGGCCTAACGTTTAATATGTTAGAGTGAAACTAACAGTATAAAAAAAGATAAGAAAGATAATTTTATTCCGTCAAAGTGTGGTTCTACAGTAATTGAATCAGTCTGGGTACACTTTGACAAAAGAAACAGAGGATCTTCAGAAGAAAGAAGACCAAACAAATTATGGTAATTTGCACCACAACTGTAGGTGAATCACACAAAAAATACTAGTATGATAGTAGTATAGTGAAGATAGTTTGACTTGTTAACCAAAATTCTAAAGTAATTGAATAGGTCTAAGTGGCTTTTTGACAAGAAAAAGAGAACTATATATAAATAGTGTTTATGATATGCCTGTATTATCTATAGTGTGAAGACTTTATTGTACATATATTTAACTTGTTCGAAATATATGTATATATACATATATATTTTATTTCAAAACAAGTGAAGTGTGTGCTGTTTATTCATCGTTGAATTTATTGCTAACAAGTCACAGACACCTAGTGTAGAAGAATCCTAAGCCCAACGACAACATAGTATATATTTATACTATTAAGAAATATAAGTAAAAGCCATTTATTTCGACAACTGACAAAAAAACAACAAAAAACACTTATAAACACACACACACACATATATCTATGTATATAATTATTATTTTCAAAATCTGACACCCACCGTAATTACATTTGGCTACTGTGAGAAAATGAACACAATATATGCTGTTTGAACTAGATTTTCTAGTTCATTTTTTCTAAACACTACTTATCTCAATCAAATTAATAACTGATAAAACTGTAATGACACTTGAACACCATAAAAGAGCCGATATGCCATGAAATTGGCACTTCATAACTGAATGTATGAACTGATGTAGTAAAGAAACTTACATCAATAAAGCTGGCATTGATATAATCTGATCCATCAACTCCACGAATTGGCTGGAGACAAACTCGTGTGGCTTCATCTGTTGAGAATCAATAAACATTAACTCAGTTTTTTTCAATTGCTTTTTTCATGGTCTCAACTTCTCAGAATTGAATCAAATAAAAAAAAAGATGAAGCTTTAACACTGCCACAAAAAGGAGCTACTATCTATTAACATAGTTTTGCTTCACAACAACATAGTGCTTCTACATTTTTAGCTGAAACATTCAATAATTAACAAAAAAATCTTTTATGACATCCTATCTTAGAGATTTAAAATAGACAATGTTTATCATTTTTAAGAGTAATTTAGTATAAAGAGACAGTTATAGTAAACCTCTCTAACTGAAAATGAACTTTAAAATTTCTTAATCATGTTTTTTTATATATAGAAAATTAATTATTCTTGGAAGTTCAATCACCATTATATGAAAGATTCTTTCAAAATTAACAATAAGGTTAGGATACAAAATTACTTTAGAAAGCTTTTATTTTTTTAAACTTGAAGTCTGGCTCAGTTTCTCATTGTGATTACACACAAACAAAACTTGATAAACTTTGAGTGGATATTACTTACAAGGCAAGATATTCATTAATCTATTTTTGAACTTGTTGACGGGAAGATTGGCACTAATAAACTTAGCAGAGGCTGTCTTTATGCTTGTTAATCTCTGAAAGGAATAATAAAGAATGGACAAAATAATATTCATATTATTAAAGAAGACAAAACAAAGCTCATTGCCGTGATAAAACTTATACTAAAATCATATACAGTGTCACAAGCAGCTGATTTTAAACTAAACTGTCGTTACAAGCTACAGTTCAGTGTAGGCAGCAATTATATATCGTGGAAGTAAAGATTAGAATAGAGACAAGCTGTGCATAAAGACGTATTTTGTTCATTGATTATAATTATTACTATAGTTAAAGATATTAATGATTAGAAACATTACAGTTAATAAATCATAAACCATAACTCAGTGCAATTAATTCTGTGGACTGAAAGGGCACAGAAATAACCTTTTTTTCTACCTAAAAACAACTGCACTGAATGATTCAAGTATCTTTAAATAATTTCTGATAATTTTTGAATTTCTAAACAAACTATGGCTTCACAGAAAACCACACCTTAAATTCTATTTCCATGCCTGTACTGTTATCTCCTGGCACAACCTCCATTAGCTGCTGTATGTGGGAATAAAGATTTTGGGCAGGAACTTCAGTATTTCCAGAGAGAACAGCATCTAAAACAGCATCATAGATGAAAATGTATTGATCTTCTGTCTGTACCATGTAGTTCCTCTGGGCTCTCAAGCATGTCACGTGGCCATAAATGTCAACTGTGTTTTCGTGCTTGAGCCTCTCCAACATGGAATCAATGACCACAAAGCAGCCAGTTCTTCCGACTCCAGCACTACAATGTAAATATCACACATCAAGCAACTTAACAATCATGATTAAAGAACCAGTGTTTTACTTTGAAATATAACACCTAACTCAATCAACAATGGGCACAAGTTCTTTTTCTTGTATCTCATAAAAATTTTCTAATTATTTTCAACAAACTTATTGATAGCATTAATATTGTTTTTTCTGATTTAAATAATATCATATTTATATATATTTTTAACTTATAAAAGTTTCTTCTGGTGAAGGCAGCAGCAAAACATTTACAATATTTTCATTGGCTCACAAAGCACTTTATCACTCTGAATATTTTAAGTTATGGAATTTTTTTCACAAAAATTATCCTCTTAAATTTCACTAAGACATGCACTTTACAGCTCTTCAAACATTTTAAAGAATGACACAAGGTAGCACTAGTAAAATGAGATGGTCATAAAGATATTTGAGTGTTACCTGCAATGCACAATGATAGGCCCAGCATCTGGGGGATTCATGGACCGGATTCGTCTCAGAAAGATCAAGAAAGGTGTGGGATGATCTGGTACTCCATGATCTGGCCATGCTGTAAACTGAAACTGTCGTATCTCTCGCCTCTCTGAAAGCCCCATCTAATGGAAAGGAGAGAAGAACATGATATATTATTGAAAATCAAACTAATTAATGTTTTTCTAGTGCTTTATTGACACAACAGATGATTTTTCAGACCTCTTCTGCATAACATGGCTTACTGTTAAGATAATTCTGTATTTTGTTAAAAATAGGTTGAAAGTTAATCATGACTTACCCTCTGTAATGTAAAGGTGCGTATGCAGTATGTTGCCAATTCCTGTACATCTGTCAAAGTGACATGCATTACTCCATAAGTATCTGTACCTCTACTGGGCCAGTACTGGTCACACTATGAGTAAAAGGTCAAACAAGAAAGAACTAAACAGATGATACCTTGTCAATTTAATTTTGTTTTACTCTTTGAACCTGATTAAATTTTCAAGTACAGTATATTCTACGAATACCAGGTTTCTGCAGAAAAACTAAATCAAACAGACATTCTACGTATCTCAAGTTAGATACCATGATCAGATCCAAATTATCAAATGACAACACACACACAGATTGTAAATGTTCTTTTAAATTGTAAAAAAGTAGTAATGTTTACAAATAAACTTGCTAGATTATAATGTAGAACTAACTGATAAAAAAAAGACTTACTTTAATTCTGGTTCTTTCTTCCAATTTTGTCATCATGATAATAGAGACTGAACGCTGTTCCCAAGCCATCCTCCAGAAGTCTCCAAATGTTTCTGGTAGAGGTCCCTGAGTAGCAATGTAAGCATTATGCTTTCTGTAACCATCACAGTAATTAGCATTGATGTAGTTTGAGCCTGGAATATCTTGTAGAGGCTGTAGCACCACTCGACTGTGATCATAAGCAATAACATTAGCATACCGATTCTTGGGTTTGTTAACTTCCAAGTTGGAATTCTCCCAAGTAAACTGCTGCCCAGGTTCTATGGACTAAATGTAGTCAAAACAGTCAGTATAATAGACGTGGCTATTCAAACTTAAAACAAATCACTGAATCATATTTTAATATTTATAGTAATAGTTAATCCTTCTTGATTAGCTTCTGATCCTTGGTTTGATTAGCACGTTGTACCCATGAATCCTTTGTTACTGGGTGCACACTGCAGAATAATGGAATATAATACATTTCTTTCTTGATGTACTGTGTTTCCCTGATTCTGTATTATTGCACTTATCTTAAGATCTGCATCAAATGAGTGGCATGCATATATTCATGTGCTTTCTAGCTTTTTAATTTAATAAGTTGTTTATAGAATGTATTAATTATTTTGATATGTTACATAACATGCAGTCAATAAAGTTCATAATTTGTTTTTGTTATCATTCTGTGTTATGCTCCAAAGATAGCACCTGGTCCTTCCATGGAGAAAATGGCTGTAAAGGTGTACTTTGTTTATGAAAGTCATCAGTCAATTTCTCCAAGGGTTGGTCAGGTTATATCTCAAGTTTACAATGTCCCTTATTTTTATATGAAAATGACTAGTCACTTGGGTAGTGCTAACTGCTCTGGGTAACCAAATGTTATGTATTCAACTAAGTAATGTGAGACTTAGCCAGTCTGGAAGAGAACTTCAAGTGAGGTGGTCAACCTGGAATAAAGCCAGTCTGACCTGCATACCTCACCAGTGAAGGCAACTGTTCATCATCCAAAGGTGCTGTACTCACAGTTTTGTTTGTTTTGAGTTAACATAACATTTAAGGACAACAAGGGATCTTTGGGCAATCTAGGCAATCCCATCTACTAAATAAAACTAAACACTAAAAACTCGAAGCCAGCCATTATCAGTCAAATATTCATCAATCTTTCCCTTAAACTCTCTTAAATTAACTACACCTTAAACAATCTTAAACCCCTCAATCAGATCCTTTTTAACTTTTTTTATCAAGAGAAAACAATTTCAGAGGTTTTAATCTATTCTTGTATGACAATCTTTCCATCCCAGGTATTATTCTAGTAGCTCTCTTCTGAATCCTTTCCAACAATTTAATGTCTTTGCTATGAAAGTGTCCAAGACTGAACACAATACTCCAAATGGGGTCTATACAATGACATTATAAGCTTTTTAGACTTTTATTCAATATCTCTGTAGACAACCTAAAATCCTATTGGCATGCCACTAGCAACAACACATTGCTTTGATGGTTTTAAGAAACTGATCAACCAGAACACCAAGATCCTTTTTCTTCCATAACACTGTTAAGGTTATTCACATCAAAATTATACTCATAATTCAATTTTTGATATCCCAAATACATTACCTTGAATTTATTATAATTAAAAGCCATTTGTTATCTATTTGTCCCACTCACCAAATAATCGAATTTTTTTTGTAAAGTAGCAACACACACAAAACTTTAATGCAATCAACAAATTTACATAATCTAATGACCATTTCCTCATTGTCTTGTACACTTGTGTCTGGCCTGTATGTTTACAAATTTTCTAACATATCTTGCTGAATCTTCCATTCTGAAGTAAACCTACCTGATTTACTCTTGAGCAAAATCAGTTGTATCTCAAAACACAAAATATGTTGAGCCTTGAACTGAGATGACATAGTCAGAAATATCTCCATTGTGGGGATTGCATTATGTTTACATGCCCTGAACTGAGATGACAGTCAGAAATGTTTCTATTATGGTGATCACATTATGTTTACATGCCCTGAACTGAGATGATGTAGTTAGAAATGTCTCCATCATGGTGATCACATTATGTTTACATGTTAAGCATCTCATAAAGAAATCTATTCACTCAAAATGTAGCTTATGATGCTGATAATATATACATGTGTATATGTTTTTTATTCAAAAAGTCAGGAGTAAGAAATGTTTTCACAAGTTATCTAATTCCAATGCATTCTTGAAAGAAACCTTTACTGTAGGAGTTCCAAAGAATCTTTACAACCATTTAATTAACTGTTTTAAAGAAGGCAGGGAAGGCAAAGTTTTACATGAAGATATTTAAACTCTTTTCACAGATTTCAGAATGAACAATGTTGAAATTATGAGATACTGATAAAAAATTTACTATCAATACGTTTGTCTAGGTGTGAAAAGCAAGATAAATTCTTCACAAACCTCATATTCTTGTGAAAATTTCAGATTTTCATTTAATTTTAACATTTCAATGTGATTGGCCAACTCTGTCAATGGGATGGGAGGATGATTCATCATGGCTGGGGTTTGGTAATTCAGCCTTCGCAACTCGACAGGGTCCATTGGGTGGGTAGTAAACTCTCTGTCTGAAGGATTGACGAGGAGTTTTGTTGTTGTTTCACCACCTGGTGTTTTACTTAACTGTCTACGCCTGTTGGAATTAAATGAAACATGCATTTAGTATAAAGGTCGAAGACAACCAATTAATACAACAATGTTTTCCAGTTAATAATGACCAGATATTAATGAGTGAAAGGAAACACACACAATCTAAAAACAACTATAAAAGTGCAACTTCTTGAAAAAAAAACACAAAGATTAAAATACATAGCTTAGTATTTAACATATCTATTATGATGTTTAGTATCAGTGTACATTCTAATAATGAAGCTTTCAACAATCTTTGTAAAGATTAGTGAGGTTATATCACAGCTTGGATGTTTGGGGTTTCTTAACATACACATTTATTTATGAAAAATCCTTCAAAAAAGATCACACTACTGAGTTGAGCTGTATACCTGACAGCATTTTACTTTTTCATGATTTGTAAAAATTGTTATGTGGAGAAAAATGCAATCAAAAGCACTTATAAATATTCCAAGAAACTCTCTGACAAAACCTGATATGTATATAAATTTCTTTACTTTAGTTGATATTCTCTAAATAAATTATGAAATTTAGAAGCACAGGTACAAATGTTAGAAACATAGTAGAAAAATAGGGGGTGTGTCTGTAAATTTTCTGCTTGGTAACATGTCAGGGGTCTTTATACTGCTACTTGACATAGTTCAAAACAACATGTTCAGAATAATGTGAGAAATGCTATGGTTTTTTATGTTTACAGTTGACAGCATGAAGTGAGAAACTATGGATTTTGAAGTTTTCATTTGATAGTATGAAGAGAGAAATTCTATGTTTTTTTTAGACTGACATCAGGGAGTGATAAACATTACATTGACAGCTTGGTTTAGGTTGACTTGCATGGCAAGTTTTTCTAAAGCTGAGTAAGAGATTATTTTAATCACCATAACAGACTGACATATATCTTTGAGATGTAAAGTTAAGTTCAATTAAGTTATGTCCATTTGAAAACTCCTGTGTACAGATTCTACTAAAAAAACAAAGAATATCTTGATTTATTCTTTGTTAAAGTGTGAAATGGTTAAAAAAATCAACAGAAATCATCTTTCAATAGGATAAACAACTCACAAATATACAAATTGGTTTAAATGGAATAATGTAGTCATGTTAGTATTGTTTTAAATATTTTTTTTAATCACTATATTATTTCTGAAACCATCAGTAGCAGTACCATTCAAATCTTTGTATCTTTATGACATATTACTACTAAAAATCAAATCATCAGCATTGTTAATAAGATATTCCTGCTACCAATCAAATCCTTAATATCCTTTATGACACTTCACTACTACCAATGAAATCCTCAGCATTGTTAATAAGATATTCCTGCTACCAATCAAATCCTTAGTATCCTTTATGACACTTCATTACCACCAATGAAATCCTCAGTATTGTTGATAAGATATTTCTGCCACCAATCAAATCCTTAGTATCCTTTATGATACTTCACTACTACTAATCAAGTCCTCCAAATCTGTAATGAGAAATCTCTTCTACTAATCCAATCCTGGGTATTTTTATGACACTAAAATGTAATGGAGTAAAACAAAATGCCACTACAATCAGAGTTGAACAAAAAACAATGTATTAAACTTTAACAACCTCACTGATAGTATCAGTACACTAAATATATTTTACTTAAATAACACACCTAAGAAAACACAATAACACGCACAAAGCAAAGAATATCCTACAACTATTATAATTTAACCAACTTTCTAAGTATGGCACAAGTTTTAAAATATACCCCTAAGATTCTTAATCAGAACACCATGAGGGAAATCTTCAAAAAGGCTTCAATCTAATCTTCAAACAACAGCAAAAAACAAGGTTAAAGACATATATATCTGTTGAATAAGTAGATGAAGAAGAAAACCATGAAAAGGATGGATAAAGCTAAAATTGAATAGGCATGGAAGGAGCATTGTTCTCTTTTTTCTCCTCACTGTGACTGAGCACATGGTGGTTATGAATTAGGAAGAAAGCTCACAATATATAGTTAGAATGAATTATTACTGATTGTTACTTGATACTGTATTGATCTTGAAGTTGTTTAATTCTGGAATATTGTATTTTTTCAGAATTAAGTTTTTTCTTCTTCTGGTTCTTTATCCTAATTCCACTGTTTATTGAAATTAATAACATGGATATTTATGGTGTATTGTTTATTAACAATTGTATTAAGTCCTGGCCAGGCACAGATTTACTAACTTTGTTTTGATAGTTTTATTTAGGATTTATGTTGTTATTAAAGTTTATTAATTTTTTTTTGTTTGACCCTGGTTGTAGCAGTGTTTTGTTTCAGTTCATTACATTGGTGCCCAAACAGGGACCCTTTCATATAGGGTAATTGAGTTTTGACTTTCAGTGGATTGGTTTTCAGTACATTGTCAATTGTTAATTCAGCAAAAATTTAAGTTCAGTTAAGTATAAGTTAATCTAACTTGTAACAGAAAGTAACTGTTACTATGGAAGTTAACAAAGCTGATGTAGCAAGTTTGAAGCAGTCTATGCTAACGTGCACGATGATGGATCTACTTGGAAGAGACACCAAGTCTCCCTCCTCTTCACCTCAAACTTTAAGAGTTCATTCTACCTCTAGCCCCATGGAAAATTCATTGATTTACGTCTCATCAATCAAACCACCATTCCTGCCTGTTGAGAAGTTTGAAAGCAAGTCAGATTTCAATGTCTTAGAGGTTCTTTGGAGTTTGGAAACTGTGGCTTCTTCTTTAAGGGGAATAATTACAACCCTATCCATATCATGAAGGAGGTTTAATGGGTTACCCAATCCTGCCAGACCGATTCCTTGGACATCTGTTATTGCTCTGTCTCATGCAGCTAAACCACTACCAATCATATTATCAGCATTCTTAATGAGAAATCCCTGATACTAATCAAGTCCTTGGTATCTTTTTATCTTAGTATATCTTTGCATAATTATGTTAAACATTGAATTTTGACATTAGATCTAAACAACATAATTATAAATAAGTTCTTTCTGTCCTATAGACTCATTCTGATGTTTTATCTCTATGCATGCACAAGACTTATGATCATACCTTTTCATAATAAAGACAATAATGACACAAGTTATGATCAACACACAAGCGACTATTGGGCCAATGATCCAAAATATTCCAGACTGTTGATTGCTGTAAACCTTATTAACTTCATCATCATGTGCCTTATTAATTTCAGTGGTCTTGGCATTTTCCGAATCTAAAGAACCACCATTCATATCTAGACTCAAAGCATCTGACAGAGGACTGCTGGTATAGAGATTCTGGAAAACATAAAAAAAAATCATATATTTTTGTGTTATACAGCACCCATTCTTGTTTATAAAAGGATAAGTTTGTCACTACAACAATCACTTAAAACAAAAACTGGTGAGATGAATATAATGAAATTTAGAATATATTTGAAGACAATATAGTTCAAAAAAAAATTAAGTTAAGTCACATTTATGAAAGATAACAAGATGACTAAACAATTCTGGGCATAGTTACTTCTTTATTATATTTCGTAAATTAAGTAATATTATCTTTAGCTGGAAATCTCATGAAAGCATTAATTCCAATTTTGAAGCAAAAGATTGTTTTTTTTCAAAGGCTTGTTTAAGCATTTATTTCATGTTCTTAGATTAAGAAAATATTGCACTTTTAAATGAGGCACAATACAATAAGTTTTATAGTTTCTTTTTATTACCTTTTTTGGTAAGTATCCACAAGTAGGTTTTCTTACCTCCAGCAGAATATACTAAGTAAGTTTTCTTACCTCCCGCAGTGTATACTAAGTAAGATCTCTTATTTCAGGCAGTGTATACTAAATGAGATCTCTTATTTCCAGCAGTGTATACTAAGTAAGATCTCTTATTTCAGGCAGTGTATACTAAATGAGATCTCTTATCTCCAGCGATGTATACTAAATAAGATTTCTTATCTCCAGCGATGTATACTAAGTAAGATTTCTTATCTCCAGCGATGTATACTAAGTAAGATTACTTACCTATAGCAGTGTATATTAAGTAAGTTTTCTTACCTCCGGCAGTGTATACTAAGTAAGTTTTTTTAATTCCAGCAGTGTATACTAAGTATGTTTTCTTACCTACAGCAGTGTATACTAAGTAAGTTTTCTTACCTCCAGCAGTGTATACTAAGTAAGTTTTCTTATCTCCAGTAGTGTATACTAAGTAAATTTTCTTATCTCCAGTAGTGTATACTAAGTAAGTTTTCTTAGTTCAAATGGTGTATACTAAGTAAGATTTTTTAATTCAAGTAACATATACTAAGTTTTCTTACCTCCAGCAGTGTATATATAAAGTAAGTTACTTACCTCCAGCAGTGTATACTAAGTAAGTTTTCTTACCTGTAGCAATGTATACTAAGTAAGTTTTCTTACCTCCAGCAGTGTATATAAAGTAAGTTATTTACCTCCAGTTTTCTTACCTGTAGCGATGTATACTAAGTAAGTTTTCTTACCTCGAGCAGTGTATATAAAGCAAGTTTTCTTACCTCCAGCAGTGTATATAAAGTGAGTTTTCTTACTTCCAGCAGTGTATATAAAGTGAGTTTTCTTACCTCCAGCAGTGTATATAAAGTAAGTTACTTATCTCCAGTTTTCTTACCTGTAGCAATGTATACTAAGTAAGTTTCCTTACCTTCAGCTGTGTATACTAAGTAAGTTTTCTTAACTCCAGCAGTGTATACTAAGTTTCTTACCTCCAGCAATGTATACTAAATAAGTTTTCATACCACTAGCGATGTATACAAGTAAGTTTTCTTACCTCTAGTGATCTATACTAAGTAAGATTTCTTAATTCCAGCAATGTATACTAAATAAGTTTTCATACCACTAGCGATGTATACAAGTAAGTTTTCTTACCTCTAGTGATGTATACTAAGTAAGTAAGATTTCTTAATTCCAGCAATGTATACTAAGTTTTCTTACCTCTAGTAGTGTATATTGTTGCGTATCTGCTTGTTTGTTAATTTCCGGTATAAATTCTTTCCGAGGAACTTCAGCGATACAGTCCTTTCTTAATCAAAACTAGTTCATTCTTTCTCGATACAAC